TACTGCTGCTGAGCGACAACCTAGCAACACAATGGAACGGCAACGTCACACTACCTATTCATATGTAATTAAGTAAAGTTTATTCGGGAACAATGTAAGCTAATTAAAGCTAAACCTAGTTTTTATCTTTTCGAAAAGGGATCGTCCGCTATTTGACATTTTGAGAAGGGTCCATAAGTAGAAAAAGGGTATGAAACTCCGTCCTACATAGTAGAGGTCGGGAACTGACGGATTGCCGGACGATTGCGAGTTCCAAAACCAAACGCAAGCAAGACCTTGTCTTATACGAATCAGGCGATCCCAATTCCCGCCAAGGTATATATAGTGCTTTTCTCAAATAACACGAGGAAATAATAAATGACTAAAAAATGAAGGAGAATGTATAATACAAAACGTAAAACAAGTTTGCCGTGTTAAATTTTGCTTCTTATTTTAAGTTAGGCGGAGTACACTATTGTAGTTTCGCTCTTTTCACCAAAAAGCATTTTCGCGAAGAACATAGATATAAAAAAATACTACAAAACAACTTTTATTTATTTTAGCACTATTTTTTTAAGTATGTTATGCAGGTAAATTCGTGAGCCACAATTAAACGCAAAATACCATAGACAATATTTTTTTAACTCGCAATTTCATGCCAGTTGGACGGTAAAAAAACAAACTCAAGTCATTAAAGCCCTCAGCCTTCAGCTTCGGGCTTTTAATAGATCCTCGTTGGTAATTTATTTACCGTCCTTAATACAGAATGTACTACTTCATTTGTCAGGTGGAAGGCTGCCTGTACAGCCTGATAAACATGCTCATAGTCTGCCACACGGTGATGCAGAACGAAGGCGTGCTGGCGCTCACTCTCCTCGCCATAGAGTCTCTCAAGCCTCAGGACTCTGAATTCGACTACGAAAAGAGCTTCATTACCCAACTGGTCAACTCTGAAATCGGCAAGCACATATCGGTGCTCGTAGAGACTAATTGCGCGAAGATGCCGGTGGAGGTCGCCGAGAATTTGTTAGCGTTCCTCGATATCACGTCGAAGAAGAACGAGCTCGCTAAAGATTATAAAGAGGCGAAGGTTCCTGAATCTCTGCAGAAATTCATGGATTCAAGAAAAGATCTCAGTGATGATTTAAAAAGCTGTATCGTGGCAGTTATCGCAACTATTTCGGATAATGGTAAGGAGAAATAAATTTCCGTTAGTATTAAAAGTCGATTTGAATTTGCCAGCAAATTTTAACATCTATATAATATGTATAGTTTATTTTAATAATTGTCCTGAATATTTTTTACTTTTTCATGCCCTATATTGATTAGTCTTTCTTTTTTGGAAACGGAGTAAAGTGACAATTCATTGCGCAAAAGTGTTGCCCGCGTGCGAGCAGCTCAGCTAATTGCAGTCGATAATTATTCTATCGACTATCGACTGAATGTTGGTCACGTTTATGCAATAAATAGCCGAACTTGTTTCATTTTAATCATCCTTGAATAATGATTCATCCACATACTGGGCACGAGTTCAATTGAGTTGTCAGTTTTTGTAAGTTCATACATAGGTACATTGTACACTGTATTTGGAAATGTGACATAGAGGGGACATATTTTAAAGTTTTTCATTTTAACTCAACATAGATAATCAAATAAAACGCGTATAATTAAAAAATTGATCTTGATATTAGCAAGCCAACTATCAGAATAAGAATAAAGAAGGCAATAACACAATTAGTAACGTCTTAACATTCGTAATTCAGTAATTTTTGACAAAATTTTATCATCTTTTACAATCCATCGATAACTGCATAACTATTTAAGATTTTACGTAACCTGGCAACCCTACAAATGTCATTTTACTCCGTCTTAAAAAAAGACAGACTATAAAACATAATGATAATATTTTAATTGCATCTGTAATTTGTATCGACATATTTTATGAAATTACTATGTTAAGACATAACGTGCTCTATTATAAAAACTGTGTTCTACTATGAAAATTATAGTCAAAATCTGCATCCCTAGGTGCTTATTATTAAAACAGTCGCTTGCAAAGCATTAGTGAAATCACAATGTTCAAGTTTATATTCCAGTAAAATCGGCTACATCCATTGAAATGACGCTACCTCATAAATAAATCGTAGTAAAAATGGAAGAGATAGACAGCAAATAGTTACTTAGTTCATGCACGCTTAGAATAAATTCGAAACCAATATTATTAGAAAAACTTAATTAAACCAGCTTACTTGTGGTTAAGACGTCATAATCTACTTTTAGAACCGAACTGTAGACAAATATTTGCATTATAGAATAAATAGAGGCTATTACGGGGTTTATTCCAAAATAGAAAATTTAATCTAAACGTCTTTTAATATACTAAAGAAAATATAACAAACAAGCCCAATGTAAAGATTCACAACGCATTTAAATTTAAAACAAATACACCTGAACAAAAATTACACATTTGAAAATTTTAAATATTCATAATTCACAACTCAAGGCGACGATAACCACTTCACATCAAATGACTCGTCTGCTCGTTTGCCTCCTACTTGACATAAAAAAGAAAAAAATCAATCCAATTTCGAATAATGCCATGTAATAAAACCATATCTGTCTCGCTCTTATTACATGAACCTTTCTAACCGGCTCCAGCCAACTCTGCGTCGCCAAGTGTAATGACCCCCTTAAACGAAAACTGGAAGCAGAAACTTACACATAATAGCCGATACAACCTCAAATGGCTTTGGTTGATTCCGCTATAACATTGGAAAAAAAAATATAGTAAAATTGAGGATATATACTAATTAGTATACGGTGTGAAAACATAATTCCTAAAAATTTTCACGATAGAAAAAAAAACAAATTTACCTCGAAATTTTACAAGAAAACCTCTGTATTAAATAGGTGCTTTACATATTACCAATGATTCTTTTTTAAATCAACCGAAGGTAGTTCAATGCAACCGAAGTAAATAGAACACGTATTATATACGATGTACATTTTGAAATGGCTTTAATTACAATTGTAGAAAAAATAAATTCTAAAATAAAGCCAGTGTCCCTGCCATTCGAGGTAGTATCGACACTTATATCCAAATTTATAATTGACTTTTTTGGTAAAATAAATGAGATTTAAATGTGGTGAATTTCTCGAGGCGTCACGCTTAAAATCGAATGAGTGAGAAATGCATACTATTTACTATTCTCATGTCTAGTCCTAGGTATAAATTTTAATTCGCTTATGACGTTTTGGTACGCGTTTCTCTAATTTAATTACACTGACCCGAAATAATCTTTCACTATTATGAGTACCAGAGCATCGGAATTCATTCTGCGGCACTACGCAGAACACCCAGACCAGAACCGATTTAGAAATATTAGTTTAGGACGTCCTCATCCAGTGCCCGCGTATAAACCGTTGGGCCATCGAGGTTGTCAAATGAAGTGAAATAATTACCGTATCCCCTTTCTCACTACTAGATAAAATATTTTTATAGCCTAGCAGTTAGCAGTGCAGGCGCTAGATAAGAAGGTCCCGGGTTCGATTCCCTGTAGGCTCAATTTGAGAAATGAACTTTTCTTTATTGGTTTTTGTCTGAGTGTTCTGCGTTGTGCCGCAGAATGGATTCCGATGCTCTGGTACTCATAGCGTAGTGTAGTTTTCTGGCACATTATCATTAGACGAACACGTGTCAAAATTTCTTTTATAGCTAAAAATGATAGAATTTACGTCATTCCTATTATATGCTAAATAAATTTTAGATATTTATTAGATGAAAGAAGTATTAAATATCGTTTTTTCGAATGAAATTGCATTCCAACTATATAATACAAGACATCACAATTTTTACTATGATGCAAAATCTTTAATATTTTCATCTCTCTTTTAGGCAAATTGCATACAATAAGGGCAAAGATTTTTCAAAATAACTCATAGAAAATTTACATTACATTAAACTTTTTCCTAGATTACCTATTAAGTCCGTGTTAATAAATACATCTCAAATGCAGCATCACATCTTAAGTGAACTGTCTTGGCGATCTTGGTGACCTAGCGCTTAATACTGTGGGCCCTGGAGAAAGTCCCGAGTTTGATACCCGGAAGGATCAATTCGGGAAAGAAACTCTTCTAAATTGGTTCTACATTGGTTGACCTGGTAGTTGGTGTAGTTGTCATTTTTATTAATGAATATCCCTTGAAAGCACGTTATCAAATTTTCCGTTTATTAGTAAACATCACTAAGCCCTTAAACTACGGTTCAAAATTGTTAGTCAATCAAATGCAGGATCTTGGTCACTTAAGTGGTTTCACCCAAGATGCGCTGACGACCATAAATATGCTATTAAAGGAATCAAAGCTTTTTTTTGGCCAGAAGTCCAGCCGATAAGTGTGGTCAATCCCTAAACCGACACGCACTTAATTCTTGGGAATTATTTCTTAATACGGACCTTGGATAACCTATACTAATTTTGCCAATCATAATTTCATTACTATAAACAAATAGTAAAGTTTTAAATCCCTTGGAAAGACGTCTTTGCATTTCGTTTATTCATTAATTAGAGACAAAAATTATGAAGCTATATCCAAATTCAAGACTACATAAGATTATTGGTGTAACCATTTAAGGTAGTTATGGGGTACTTTAAATTCGTATAATATACAAAAGGCTGTTTAAAAATAAATCTGGAATTATTATAATTTACACGCACTGGCTCATTCATTCATTCATAAACTCTCCAAAATAATACAGTGTTTTTTTTAAAATTCTACTTTTGATTTATGTCTAATTTGAAAATAAAAATAGTCAGTCGACTGTCATTTCTTTCATTCATTTGTTTTTCCTTTTATATTATATACTTAGAATAATAACGCATAGAAACCCAGTCCGCACACGCTAAGTGAGGCAAATTGAAGCGCTCCCAAAGGGCCTACACGAGCGGGCGGGCCTTCAGTGCTCAAGGTCAACTTGCACCGCGAACAGATCAAGAATTTTAGCTAAAAATGACGAAAAGTGCGGTAAATGAGTAAAAATACGTCAGACAAACATAAAATAGATACTAACATCACGTTCCACAAGGAAGTAACGCGTTTCAACTTGTATTTTTATATAAATATTCACTAAAACCGAAAATTAACCTACCTACTACTAAAACTAGCCTACATGAATTTGATTTTTGCCTCATTTGTGACAGTTCTTTGATATGAAACTATCATTCCATGCGTTACTATTCTAAGATTATATACTAATTTTGTTTGATTTTGTGGTTTCGCAATTTTCGTAAACTAGTTTGAAAACGATTTTTTTTTTTTTTTCAAACAAAGGAACGTTTTGGGTGGTTTGCATTAATGTTAGACATAAATGGTTGATGACTTTACCATCTCCAGCGGTGACAACTGTAAAGGATCCGAAACGTTTGTAAAAAAAAACAAATATACGCTATTTAGATCCGAAAAACGAGACAATGTTAAACTGTTTTAAAAGTTTTAAATTTTACAACCGTTTCTGCTGTCACAAAATAAAAAAAAATGCATTTCAATTTTTTTTCAACAAAGTTTGATTCATAAAGCCTTATCAAATCCTTCTTAAAAGAAATTTATTGTTTCGCTAAATATGCTGGTGTGGTGTAGTCTATTTTTTAATTCCATAAATATTTTTGATCAGTGTTTTTTAAAGTGCCGAATATCATACAATGTATCAGCAATATTGACAAAATACTCAAAGTACAATTTAATAACATTGTAATAGTCGTAAAAGATTAAAAGGTAGTTAAACTTGCATAGTTATGGGTAATTTTTGATAGCATTGTACTAGTACAATAGGTAACGAGTGCTAGTTAAAACGAGAATTCTTACGAACTTGATCCAAAACCAGGCCACGTGTTCTTTCGTTCTTTGTAAAAGATTTGGTGACATTACAGGCACGTGGGACTTGTCAATTTATGTCTCAGGGTGACGGGTCACAGTGGCAGTGCCTCAAGATCTTTGCGATTAAAAGTTCTGAGTGGCACTGCAACTGTTATGAATAGGCGTGTCGCTTACCATCAGGCGCACGACTTCGTCCCGTCGTTTAATCGAGATAGACAAGTCTCGGTGTCAGTTTGTCCCGTTATACAGAATCAAGAGCATATCAAGCTTGTCACTTCACATTAAATTCAACTCTATACCGCTTACCGTAAGAACGATACAAAGTCCAAAGTGTCAAACTTTATATGCTCTTTACATACTTACCGAATTCACAATGATAGTTCACAAATTTCTAACTTAAAATACAATTTACTATTTCGAAAAAATAAATACCTCTACGCTGCTGAGATCATAATCCAATAAAAAACTTAAATTAAAATTTTAAAAAACCCCCGATACAAAACAGTATACTTCAAAAAGTAAATAAATTCACTATACTGTTAGAGGACTCTTCGAGACCAATTTCAAGAGCCCTAAAGCGCAGGCCACACCGCGAACGAAGCTAACTTAACCTAAGTCACATAGCTGCATGCAAAGCTAAGCTAAGAAAATACGTAGTAAGTAGTGACTACGTATACGTAGCTAACGGGTCGTTGGGTTAGTTTAGTTAGCTCGGTTAGCTTAGTTCGCGGTTTGAACCGAAGTGTGAAAAGATACCCCGGCTACGTGAATTAAGCTAAGTTATTAAGTGTTTTATTGAATGAAATATTTTTATAAGATTTCTCATAGATGGCGCTACGGCTAAACCAGATACAAAGATCCAACAACAAGCACATAGAAAAATTCGTGAGGTCCGCTGGTTCGTTGGCATAGCGTCTGGCACGGTTTGCTACAAGACGGCCGGTTCGAATCCGACCGGATCGAAGGAATTATACTTTGATGTAAAATTTCACGATGTCCACACATTATTTGAGTTTTAATTCGGGACTTAATCACGTATGAAAACATATTTTGATTACCTCGACGTTTCGGACGCCTTCGAGTCCATGGACGTTGCAATACGTCCGAAACGTCAAGGTAATTAAATATTTTTTATAGGTACATGATTAAGCCCCGAATTAAAAATCAAATAACGAAGGATTTTTTTGTAAGTGTTCGATCTCTGTATTAATAATTATAATAAGCTAAGTTAGCTTAGCTTCGTACGTGACCTGCGCTTAACATGCTTATGGAGGCTATCAGCGCAAAAGTGTGCTGTAGCCAAATTTATTTCATATAGGTATATATTTTGGTGCTACACTCACGCAATTGTACTCGTGTAATTTTACAGGAATTGATTTTTTAAATTTATGACGTATCAGCAAAAGTTTGGGTATATAAATTTAAAATTACTGCCAATTTTTCCTCAAACGTAAACACTTATGCATGTTAACATACTTAATTCAATTTCGCCAAAATTACAATTAGGACAATGTATAGCACCAAATGAGTGATTTATAGTAATCATAATTACCTATTATTATTATATTTTTATACATGATAGAAAAAAATGTGGGTCACTGTAACCTCAGTTTGCCTAAGAAGAAAGGATTACTTCACATTAAATGGTCCCATCGTTCTGAATTCGGTGTGTACGTGGTAGCCAGTTCCCAATGTGCAAAATAAATTGCCTTGCCTTAATCGTTACGCATTTTGATGTTAGCTTTAAGACAATCCAATAGTGCACTTAATAAAATAAAATAGAAGCTTCATTTTGCCCGCTAGATGATCAATTAGGAATAAGTCGTTATTGATTGTAAATTTTGCATAACATTTATTGTACAATGACTTGTTTTATAGAATTAACAGAAACAACTTATACTAAATTTAAAAGTTCAGTGCATCTTCTAAAGAGAATTAAAGAGTTATCAATAAGACGGCATAGTTAATTTTAATTTAGACCTGTCAAATGTATGCCGTCTAAAATTATCGAGTAAGCTACAGACGTCGATTAATTTGACAGATCTATGTTGAAATATTAAGAGCGGTGGTAGCTCAGTAAGAGATTTGCTTCTCAATTGATAAGTACGGTTCGAATGTCTGTAGCGGCATGTAGGTATCTGATTTAATTTCCACTTTACGTGCATTTCTCACTAATGGTGACGAGGCTGTCAAAATATTTATCCGAGGGCCATACACCCGTACTTTGGTAAGGGACGTTCGGCCCTCCAGGGCCGAATTAAAACCGCAATTTGTGCCGCGCTTTGCCCAAACGGAAAAGTAATAACGTGTTAAGCAAACACTGACCTAAAAACTCCTATAATGTATAATGAGTAATTAATTACATTTTCTGTTCTGTTCTTACTGATACGGAAGATGCAGATGCACTAACCTTTAGTTTAGTTTATATTTACTGAATAGACGCCATTGTTCAATTTACATTACACATCTTTTAAGTTGAAAATTTTTTTGCGATTTTTTTTACGATTATCGTAAGAAATGTTAAGGTGGTCAATTTTCACTCATTGACTTTACTCTTAAAACACCCTTAATGTACGTTTTATATAATTAAAAATCACACATCAATATTTATTTTATAATTATAAGTAAAGAAAATTGTAATATAGTATTAACATTTTGAGCTTCACATAGTTTATTAGAGTTAACCTTTTACTTGTTGACGCACTTCTCATTGTTCTAGTTTTACGGACCAAGTTTTTATTATAAATAGTAATCTGCTCATTACCAAGACTTATCCATAGATGTTTAATAGACAGACTGAACTCGCGTGACTGGAAGTTGCTTTTAGTTAATTCGTATTGGCACTGGTGCGACTTTATTTCCTAGAAGTTCCATTCTATACTCTGCACCGGAATTCGAGATCAAAAATGTAAACAATGGTATATTCCATTACAAAAAATATTCAAAGAATCGTGCAAAAGGTCGAAATGCATTACTTTCTGATATTGTCCTTAAATTGTGTGTATATACAATCAAAATATTATCGAAACTTTTTTTTCTGATTAATAATATAAGTTCTTATATATGAGCTTATACTACGATTTCTATACTAATCGCAATGTTTCGGGGGTACACAACCTTTGGCTACCCTTTTTGTTTATATGGTTTTTGATACGTTTGTTGGTAACGTTACGAAGCGTTTTATTATTACAAATAGGTAGATGTAAAGAAAATAATTAGGTTATAAGCTTCTTAACAAAATATAAAAACAAAAATTAATGAATTAATTTTTCACGCTGGTTCGTTCCGTGGCTTAGTTGACATAGCGTCGGGCACGGTTTGCGGTTCGAAGGATTTTATTCTAATTGTTCGATCTTTGTATTAACAATTATAACAAACTAGTGGAGTAATTTCACATAAAAATAATTGAATATCAATTCAATATAAATTTAAATTAATTCATTATTAAAAAATACATATATAAATACAGATGGATATTATAAAAATGATTCTAAAAACTTGTTTTACCCCAGAAATACCTTTGCTGAAATTACAAGCACATGGGACTTGTCAACTTATGTTCCAGGCTGACGAGTGCAGTGGCAATTATTAGGCCACCACGACTTATTCGCCCCGTCATTCGGTATCATAAAAAAACCCGAAAATATTTTTGTGATCTATGATACATGACTTTTTGATTACATTTTTTATCTCGAATTCCATCTCCGAGTATAGCGATTATGTTGGTATAGTAACAAATCGCAGTAGGTTACTGCAAATTAACCATTGTGTAAGTAACTACGAATCGAGCAACACTTAAAAATGTACCAAGCAAGTAAGTACTGTTTTTTGTAACAATGTCAATATCGACTCATCCGAAGAACAGAGTCCGATGTGATTATATAGCTAAAAGAGAATAAGTACGCTACGAGAATAATTTCCTTATTCAAACTAAGGCCTACGTAAAGGTGTTTTGAGAATTTATATATCTTATTTCATTTCGGAAATATAAAATCGTACAACGGTAGATCTGACGTCCACAGCGAAGAAGAACGAATGAAATGTACTATGTCCTGAGAACAAGTAGTCTTGCATATAGATCTTTGTTCTACGGATGAGTCGATATAATCAAATGCCTAAAGCAATTACAATAATATGTTTACCTTGTATACGTACCTAATTAACGAAGACTTTATTCAAAATCTATTAGTAAAAAATATAGTACTCGTCATACTTAACGCTTAAGATTGTAAATTCAAATAAAAAAGGTCCAAAGACCAAAGTGTTAAAGTTTATGTTATTTTACCAGTATAGTCCATCTCGATAATCTCGAATATCCATTCGTAGTAGCTTGCGATTTTGACGAAAACAAATTATTGACAGTTCCATTCGCAATTGGACATGTAAAATAGTTTTATATACAACAACACATTCCATAACGTGTATATCTCAGTGGAATAACCGTAGAGTACGGATCTCGGTTTGGTACTTCCAAGCGCATAAATCTCACAATACATTCTCGTTTAAAATTTCGTAATAACAGGCCCATGGCCAGCCTGTTTCAGAATGTTCTCAATATGATTGTGTTTCTTTCACTGCTGACGTGTTTGTCTCTGGCGTTTTATAATTTAAATTAATTCAGTATGTCTTGGCATGAGCTATTTAAGCAATGCAATGTTGTAATAAGTGATATAGATTCCTGCTGTAATAAATTATTCTAAATCAATCATTTTTTATTTCTATGCTCATTGTCTGTTTATTTCCTTTTTTTACGGAGAACAGGGTTGAAAAAGAGACCGCATTAATCTTTAATGAAATCATAAATGAAATAATATAAATAAAAAAATCACATTTTATTCTTATCAGTATGAAATATTTCGTCTCGGTACGTACGTTTGTACATAACAAAGTATCTGCATATTCATAAATTATCTGAATGTTAATAAATTATCAGGACATTAACAACTTTATCTAGACATGCATAAATTATTACAATATTAATAAATTATCGGAAGGTTTCTGAGTTTGTAATGTAAATTTAAAAAAGCTAACATAATAAAATGAAAATTTTGAAATTAGTTTAATTCTAGAAAACCATCCATGCGTGTCGCATTAAAACGTATAATACCCACAGAATTTAACTGGTGGATATATCAATTTTTTTAAATTTATTGTTTCTATCTATTTTAGGTATTATCAGTTAGTGTCATCGAGGTTCATTACAGATTTCTCTTGTATCATGGTGGAGTGCTGTGTAAGTGCCATCCTGAATAGGAGTTCATCATCAGATATTAAGTGCTGTCTCTGCACTGGCTCCCTATTGCCGCAGCCTACCACTGAAAAGTACAATAGTTAGTTATAATAAAGACTTTACTCGAAGCGACATCAAAAGCAAAGTTGAAAATTTAGAGCAAATGACGTGTGTTCATTTGTCCCCTCACAGTCGGTAACTACTTAATAGATGTCAATGTATGAATCGTTAGATTTGTCTCGATTGTCCGACTGTAGTTGCATAAAATATTTTTATGCAAAATCCAATTTGGCGTGTGTGGTACGTCATCAAATTATGATTTTTTTTAATCAACGGATGCCGTCGTAATAGTTATCAAATACGAGGATGAAAAGACGTTTCTAATATAAAACACGTATAGCAACAAACAAAAGAAACATTTTTTTCAAATTCTTATTGTTTAAATAATTTTAACTTTAATTTATACATAAAGACATATCTTTTATTAATAATATTTACGTATAAGTATTCGTATATAAAGTAGCGAAACCTAAATTTTGACACACCCAACGTTGTAATATTCCAAAAACAATCATAGAGGCTATTAATCTTGTAGAATAAATTGAGGGACCACTGATTCTCACTGATTTGTTATTGTTTTGTTTTTGGGATGCCAGGACGACTTACCTCCACGTGAGCGAGTGGCTTCTGGTCCTGTGCAATCGCAAGATTGGGTAGGAAAGGAAGACATGAGCCGGTGCATCCTGGGCAACTCTTAGTAAATGCTTAGGGCATTTGCTAGGCGTTGGCTAAAGTGTCGTCACCCAATCCGACGGTGTTAGACGTACCATGCCTTTGGATGCGTGTCTGGGGGTAGCCCAGCCGTTAACGGTGTACCCTCGATACCTGGGCGCCTCGAGGGAACCTTTATGCCCTTTAGGCCTAGGCCGGCAAGCGGGGCTCTGCCGGTTGTGACGTTTAGTTCCCTAGCTACTCGTGGGACTCGTATGGATAACATAGAGGACAAAAATTAACTAATAACTTAAATTCTTCTTTGGAGGAAACCACGGCTGGGATGGACAGTACACCCAGCAATAACGATATGACTCCAGTCATGGTTATGGATACGAACCAGACGGGTCCTTCCGACCTTTTAGTGACGACCGGATCCAGCGCTCAGCCGCGTAGTCGACTGAGCGGATCTCGCCGGAGGAGACTACAGGGCCTAATGAGAGCGGGAAAGAGTTATGCGGAAGCCCTCCAGCTCTCTGAAAAGCCCTGGAGTGAACTTACGGTGCCCAAACCACTTCCGAAAGTGATAGTGCCGAAGCGCGATCTGGCAGAAAAAGTGTCGCCCCAAGAGCACATAAGGAAGGCTCCCAGGACCATGGCACAAGCTGAAAGCAGAATCAGACCTACTTTCAGCGAAGTGGCTGGCTCCCTGCTCGTGAGTGAAGCCCTTCAGCTCTCTGAAAAACCCTGGAGTGAACTTGCGGTGCTCAAACCAATTCCGAAACCGATAGCGCTGAAACGCGATCTGTCAGAGAAGGCGTCGCCCCAAGAGCACACAAGGAAAGCTCCCAGGACCATGACACAAGCTGAAAGCAGAATCAGACCTGCTATCAGCGAAATGGCTGACTCCCTGCGCGTGGGTATCCGGAATTCGGAACCTATGACGGAGGAACAAATGGAACTAGTTAAGCTGTTCCTAGTCCGCACCATTGCGAGCACAAAGTCGCATGGCGAAGGACCGAAGTTCATGGGCCTCTCCCACAAGTCAGGCTGGATTCTTGTGACCTGCAAGGACCATGATAGTGCAGACTGGCTTGAGGAAAAGATTGGCAATCTGCATCCGTGGCCGGAAGCCAAGCTGTCCTTTATTAAGGAGAGCGAGCTTCCGAAACCCATCACCGCCACCACTTACATTCCGGAGAAGGGGTGCGAGTCGGTACAGATGGCAATCAGCCTGCTCGAGGCCCAAAACAGTGGTCAGAATTGTGGAAAATTCTTCACACCTGGGAAGACGCGAACGGATGGATCATCGCGTACGCTCTGGATGGCCTGTCACTGGAGCATCTCCGGGCTTCAAACTGCCGGGCACACCTTGGTTTTAAACAGGTTACGTTTAAGATCAAAGGGTGCCCGGAAGGTACTGTTAGCAGCGACAATGCACGGGGTGTCTCGGCCTCGAAACCGGAGTCGGTAACAAGTCCGCTCGAGGAATCGGAGTCGGGAAGCTCAGTGCAGGAGTCTGCGCCTGGTCCGTCTTCTACGAACCAGGGGAGCGGTGTTGGGGCTGCACATTTGGAGGCAGTTCTCTACTAAAACTAGTCAGTTTTGGTAGAGACCGATACTAGTCAGTTTTGGTAGAGAACTGCTAGTCTCCTCCAAGGGAGTCATCGGCTGAAGAAGCTGAGAGAAAATAACTTAGCAAAACTGCCAAAACACCATATCAAACGACTCTGAACACCATTTCCGCATGGTGTCAAGGCAATGAAATACCGGCCTTTGTTATACTGATGGGTCGAAGACAAGACTCAACGTCGTGGATACCATAGACGTAGCTTAGGTTGCCTAGCGAGAGGTACTTTATAAATATAAACTGGGATTATCTTCATAACTAGATATTTATTGTATTTTTCACATATTCACTTATGGAGGCTACTTCTAGATCTGCCAACATGATCTTTTCTCTATCCTATTTTTTAAACACATTCTAAATACAAATCTATATTCACTCAGCCAGCGTACTTCTACTCATAGAGTAGAGCCTAGACTACATCCCCCTTCCTCACAACTGAAGCGGTGAACACTTGTCAAATCTTCGGTAGAGAGGAAACAGAGAGTGTAGATTCTGCCACGAGGCGGATCAAACTCCTTACCCAATGCTGCACAAAACACAGGCCACAATTAGAGAACATTAAAACAGTCGAAGCCAAGAAAATCCTTCAGTTCTTTAACATTGGCTCCAAATTGTAATTAGTGGTGACCACAATATACCAGTTAATGGTTGCAGTAATGAAGAGCTGCATAGGCCCTGAATGAAGCGACCTTTATATATATTTTTTTACATTTAAAAAAGTAGTCATTGAAAGCCACATCAAAATTATGCCCACTCAACACCACTGTACAACATAATATACTATTGTCTTAGAATATATATTTTTTATTATACCCAAATATTTGGTCACAAAATCTCACTTACCTGGACACTTAGTTCTCTGCTTGATAGTAATAAGGTTTATAATGGATTCTTTTTCATAGATGTGGCCACATAAGGAGTTCTTCACAGGGTCCACTATAGGCCTCTTGGTTATTGGATCAATCTGGAAAGAATAGTTTTACCTGTTTCAGTAAACAGCGCGGCATGTATTCGCTTGGTATTTATTTAGGTATCAAGATCAGTTGACCATAATATGTCAAAAATCATCTTTGGTCGAGTCGCATTTAAGATAAATCAAGTTTTGGGGTAAGGGCCTATGCACACGGCGTATTTCATACGCGCAGACGACGCGCGTTTTATGAACGCGCGTTTACGTCGCTGAAGATGTTCGAAAAACAGATTGTTGCGTTTGTATCGATTCAATCAAACATCGCGTTGCAAGATTGAGGAAGAGAAGGGGCGCGCCCTTCTCTGTCCCTTACCCACTCACGCCATCGCGCCATATTATTACGGCACCGTTAACGCGTGTCATCTGTGCATATACACGCCGCAGACGCACTGTAGTGAATTGATTCAAATGCACGCAAACATCACGTTACAAGCAAGAAGCTTATATACTCCACTGGAGTTCACACTTAGAATTTCACGTGGTTGCTTCATTCCAAAAATTAACTGAAATTAACAAATGAAACTAAAATTAAATCTATGTTTTATCAAAATGTGCGACACACATGCGCGTTTACAGCGTGTCTACGGCGGGTATGAATTTGTGAACGTGTACATAGATTTACTGGCTACGACTGAATCTCGTTTGAATCGCGTTAACGCGCGTCATCAGCGCGACCTCTGCGTGTCGTCAGCGTGTATAAAATACGCCTTGTGCATAGGCCCTAATAGCTATGACCATACATCAACAAGACCTTCGTCCACCCTAGAAGTCGTGCAAACCTTATTTTGGAAAATTTATTATGTTAACAGTTCCTTCTCTCTACATTTTGGTCCTAGGTGCCAAGCAAAAACGTTTAACAGTCTCCCTGCTGAACTCATTAACATTACACAACAACATTAACAACTTATTAATATTGTGTATTATTTGTACTTTGTTTAAATTTTGTGTTTCCTCTGACAATCACTATTGGTATTGAAATAAATTTTCTTACAACCAGTGTACATATATTAAAGAGCTAAAAGACCTCCAATGTTTTATTTCTATAGTGATAATTGAAGTCAGATAGAATAATATTTACTTACTACCCTCTGAACATCTGGAATAATTATAATTTTGTCCTATATTTTTTGTCTAGACAGCAAGTACTTTATAGTAAATACACATAAACATTTAGCAAAAAAATGCACTTGTGAGTAAAAATATAACTATTTTGTTCTGATTTTTTGCATTTTCATTTTTAATAATTCTAAAGTATTACCCATCACATAAATTGCCTACCCTGGTGGGAGACCAGTGTGATGATATGCATGTATGTATGAAAATCTGCCTATTCCAATTGTTAATGATAACAGTGGACCTTATACAAATCGTAATGGCGCGAAAAAGCTTTATTGTAATACCTACGTATTTTCAAGACCACAAGTATTTTGAAAAAAAATGCAGTGCATAAGGAATACTTACATATTGGTCTTGTGTTTCTGTAATAGCTAAGTCAGACTCTTCCAAATTTTCTGAAATTTAAAGAATTCACGTCAGGTTTTGATAGCACAAAGTGCAACAGAAAAAATAAAATATGTACACATATTCACAACTTAAAAGATAAATTTTGAGTTTTTAAATGAGAGACAGTATCTCTCAGCTGTGACACAGTTGGTTCGTACATATATTTTTTTTAATCTTGTCTGTCAATATCGGCCTTGTGATGTCAATTCCTGTGGATTATTCTACTCTACAGCTCGCTTTGCAAATGCGGGCTAGATGAAGGAACTCCGGATCACATTTTATTCAATTTTGTTACAATTACCTCCGTGTACCCTGTCTCCTTGTATGATATCCTCCCCTCATTCTTTCCCAAACCCACAAGTTTTAATGCAATTTAAAGTCCTACGGATACGTCTTCAATGTCCTTTGTGATTATATAACCAGCAATAACAAAATTATAATTTGTTCATCCTGCATAACATACCTACTAACATTTGTCTATGTATATAGTTCTCTGTCCCTTTCAGGAAATTCAACAGCTCTGCATCTTTAAAATGTAACAAGTATATCACATTTATTATATCACATTGTGCTCTCACAATACTCACTGAATAGCAGTCTACAGAAGCCCTTAAAATTACTAAGCAGAAAACTTGATACTGGCGAAATCTAAAGGGTAGTGCCATTAAGCAAAAAGAAGAAGTATTATACTCTATTGTGTCGCCTCATAGAGAGAAGCAAGACTTTGCATATGAGTACAGAGTTTTAGCCTTCATCACCAACGGGTCACCGAATTCGTACATATTATAATTGACTTGCATGTGAGGGCAAATTGCAAAATATAGGTAAAATTATTAAATAAACCCAAGTAATATAAAATAATCTGTCCTAAAATAAAACTACTCTTACATGTGAGAGCTTCCTATGCCATCTTACAGTCAATGTGTTCAAGATACATTGGGTTATTAATTGAAATTACAGGCACATGGGATTTGTCAACTTATGCCTCAGGTTGTCGGGCGCAGTAGCAATGCCCCTCAAATCTTTGTGAATTACAGCTCTGAGTGGTACTGCAATGGTTATGAACAAGCGTATTGCTTATTATCAGTCGCACAACTTGTTTGTCTTGTCACTTAGTTTTTATGATAAATAAATTACATGCTCTTCTATTAATAACAAAGTATCTGATTATGGATACAGAACAAAGACTTATTACTTATGAACAATTGACATTCTAAAAATTGATATATTAACTTTTATTGAATTTGAAAAGCAAGGTTGAACAATTAAATGAAGGTATTTTGAGGGTGCATGCTCCCTGTTGCCGCAGTCGAGCTAGTGCCTCATTTGCTGCAGATCTGTGCTAAATATTTAATGCAGTTGGGAACAAACAGCCGTTTGACTTTTTGAAATGGCACAAGAAAGGCTATGAAATAGTTAAGTCAAGCTTTTAAATACGAATAACTTACGTCTAGCATTCTGCAAGCCTTTGTCAATCCTTTTATTTAACTCAGTCATGTACGGATGTTTCTTGACGTCGAGCCTTTTGCCCGCCAAGCTGGCCAGATGAGCTTCAAAACAGTTTTCTAGGGAATCTATGTTGGATGTGTCAGTTTCTTTCTATAAACAAGAATACTGGACTGTAACTGATTATTAACCTAAGTTACCACAGGTAACTTGCTGGTTCACTGTGTATCACAGAGCAGATAGATTAGGAAGTGTAGGAACTAGTGTGGCAAGTAACAAGTGTAGGAACACTTGGTGGACGCGTCGCGCAAGCTTGGCATCCTGAACAAGGTGCACCGATTTTTTACTCCAGAGCTGCGATACCTGTTGTATAAAGCTCAGGTCCGAAGCAGCATGGAGTACTGTTCGCACCTTAGGGACGGCTCTGCCAAGTACTTGCTCGATGCCCTAGATGGACTGCAGTGCTACGCCTTCTGTGTTGTCAACGATCCTCATGTAACTGAGCTTGCGGAGTCGTTACAGCTTCGCAGAGATATAGCGTCTCTTAGCGTATTCTATCGCCTGTACCACAGTGAGTGCTCTGAAGAGTTATTCAACCTTATCCCTTCCTCTCCTTTCCATCAGCGGACCACCCATGCCGGACTGCGTTGCCACAGATGGACGGTCAGTTCAATACCGTCCCGCACTAAAAAGTTTGGCAATTCGTTTATATGCCGAACCATCAAATTGTGGAACCAACTCCCGGCGCATGTATTCCCTCCCCTCTATAACATCGGGTCCTTCAAACGTAGTGTGAAGAAGCATTTGGCCAGACCGGCAAAATGATAGTGACGGAGTGAAGATATTTGTGTTTTCCATCCGTTACTCTCATCTCTGGACTGTATTCGCACTTTCCATCAGGCGCGGTGCAGTCATTTTGCCGAGTCACAATAAAAAAAAAAACAAATAAAAATACTTGCCACATCAAAATCTCGCATGCATCTAACGATCAATAACCTAAAAGATGATTTCTTGAAAAATGAAGTTACTAAGTATGTCGTATTTTGTATTTTTTTTACATTTCAAGATGTGAAAAAGAGGCTCCATCTCCTTTTTCGAGAACTCACTTTTTTGGCTGTTGATCGTTCTTTCGAGATTCTGATGCATCGATGTGGCAAACCCTTGAGCTCACGATTCATAGGTCAAATGGACAATCGAGCCAACGGCATTCTGTCTCAAGTAGGGAACCCCACTAGCAGATATAAATGAAAGTTACTCGGCAAAACGAACAAATTTCCAAAGTAAAACTTGTGTTGATGTTCTACATACCTTAGCGCGTTCTAAAGCCTGAATAGCGACCTCTTGTTGGGCTTCTAGCAGGCAATATCCTTCGACATACGACTTGAGCTTATTGAATTCGGTTTCTTGTTCGGTGTCGATGTATTTGGAAACGTTGTCCGTGCATAGATACAAACTGGTTATGCACTGTTTTCGTAACTCAGCTAAATCAGAATCTGCCATGGTTGTTTGGTCTCGCCCAATTATCTAATTACCTAAAATATTTAAAAATGTTTGCAACACCTATTAACAATACCGCCAACAACAAACTTAACTTGAACAAACAAACAAGTTTGCCGAATGTGACGTTCGATTGACTGACGTTTCTAACTTAAATATAATGTTGCTTTGGATACAGGCAAGTATGCGGTGGTACGTGTAGTGTATATATTTAAAAAAAAAACAGGAATACTCAAAAGCAGAAACCTTTATATTATAATATACAGGCATGAATGGTATGTAGTAGCAAAACCAAAACGAAGAATACTGTTACGTCAATGGGTAAATATTAAATCCCTACTCACAACACAATGGATTGTTGTGCAGTTTTTTTTAAGTAGCACTACCTGCGCACAAACTTAATAAGAGACACTACGGGTCGGGTTCCAGAACTCAACTCTATGCTCAAGTCAGTACTTGAGTATGTTTTCTAATTCTTTCAAGCACTGAAGACGCTTGGCCGCCGCCATCGTCGCAAAAGCGCATAAAGTGTTTGTTGAGGTTGCGCATGTTAAAGGATGTTAATGAAATTTTGGATGCTCTGCTCGCCAAAGTCTTGGCGTTTAAATCTGAGCGTGAGATATATGAGGAAGTAGAGAACCTTACCTTCCAGTAGCTACATGAGCTGCTTACGAACCAGCTAATAACGACGGGCGCAGGACAATTAAATAATAAAATAATAAATAACGCACACACTCATCATATCCCCGCACTAGGAAAACCCTGTGTCGCGGGTGCCATGGACACACACATAGACAACCACAAATTGCACCCAAATTCACGAGAGAAATAATTGTAGGCCATACAACTATTTCTCCCGGCCCGGGAATCGAACCTGGTACCTCTGCATGGCAGTCCGGCATGGTAACCGTTCGGCCACGGAGGCAGTTATTAATGCGACTCGAGAGACGAAACGAAATCCTTGTGACTTGTTCTGTCAGTTATGGAATTACAACCCCTCTTGGAATTCACAGTGATACAAAGGGTATACTATAAGTTTCCGGAACTAGCCACTTACATAGACAATATTTAAAAAGAAAAATGGCGGGTTCTTGAAGTTACGGGTACAGTAAGAATATCTTAGAGGATGGAAAAAAAAGAAGTTAAAAAATAACAGTTTCCATAGTCTAAGAAGAATATAATAATACAATAAGATACAAGGAAACTGTAATAAACCATAGTCTTTTTTGTGAAAACAATTTTGGCAGTCAATTTTTTGGTCAAGCGTGTGTCCTTAAAAATGAATAATGATGATCAAAAATTTTTTTTAGTGCTGATAGACTCAGTTTCATGAAGGGATGATTTCGTAGTATGGGGCGAAAAAATCGAGACAACAGAAATTGGTCAAATTTAATTAAGTTATTTTTCATTCAAAATGCACTTGCATACATTCTGCAGTGCGACGTGTGTTAAACTGCACACATTAATTGGACATTTTGTACTGAATCAATATAAGCTATACGGCAAGTACTGACATTTTTGTGTGCGGTAATAGTTTGGAT